TCTGCTCCCCTGCTCCCCTCACCCAACCCCATGGACTCAGTGACATCAGCCGGCACGTCGCCCTGCCTCATCTCTGCTCCCCTGCTCCCCTCACCGACCCCCCACAGGCTCAGTGGGATCCCATCAGATCAGTCACTTTGTTTTAACTCTTATTTCTCCTCTAGAAAGAAATGACAGTTAAAGTCTGAGGCAAGAGCTGCCATGTTATAGTTGAAAAAGAAGCCAAATTTCAGGGTAAATGGTGCTACAGACTGAACCTTTGTGCCCCCCAGAATTCACATGTTGAACCACTAATGCCCAGCATGGCTGTACTTGGTCACGGGGCTCCTATGGAAGGAATTACGGTTAAATGAGGTCATAAGGGTGGGGCCCTGATCGACAGGATTAGTGTCCTCCACGAAGAGACTGAGCACAGAGGAAAGGCCACTCAAGGACACATGGGGAGACGGCTGTCTGCAAGCCAGGAAGAGAGTCCTCACCAGCAACCCACGCTGCCGCACCTTGATCCTGGGTGTCTTGTCACCAGAACTGAGAAATAAATGTCTGCTGTTTAAGGCACCCAGTCTGTGGTCTCTTGTTATGGCAGCCTGAGCTGACTAACACAACATAGATCAAGCATTTTTGTGTTATTTTAAACAAATCAGATTAAGGGCTCATGTGATATTAGAAACATGGAACACAGGAATGCCACTCCCACCCCCTCCTCACACTCTCCCAACACGCACACCCTCCTCTGAAACAAAGCACCGAGAATCTATATGATCTCTTAGTCTGAAGGCACGTCCCCTCCGAAGGTACCATCAGGCACCGAGGTCTGCGGTTGGGACAGCTGTATCCTTCTGACTTCAGGTCCACCAAACCAGAAGTGAAAGCAACAGTGGACAGCCCCTCTCAGCTATTTCTAAAGAGCCTGCAGATGCTCTCTGACCACAGTTCCACGGCAGCTAAGCTCTCAACAGAAGAAACTGTCAGCGAGGACAATGGGAGTGCCCAGCAGGCGCCCTTTGGCAAAGCTTGGGGACACGAATTAGTTCTTCCTTGCATCTCAAAGTGAAGGAGTTAGACGGGCTGGGTTGTTAGATTTACTTCTAATTCTACTAGGAAAGTACTTGCTGGACTCTGACTATGAAGAAAAGAAAAAATAAATACTTTTAATTCCTTGAATGCCACTGATTAATTTCTTGCAAAAGCAGAAGTGAGGAAGCCCTTGGAAGAAAAAGCCAAAGTACGTAGGAACATGAGAAAAAACCACCAAGAATATGTTGATGCTATTTATTAAACGAAAGGCAGAATTTAGCACATACAATAGAATTATGAAGAAAAACCTAAAAACTCAGAACTCTCAACTCACTAGAGTTAGAGAGTAGTTAAGCTGCAGAGTCTGAACGGCGCACACCGTCAACGTGGGCGGGGGGAGACCGACAAGGATGCGAAGCTAGTCCTCAGCATTTGTAAAGCCGTGAGGACCATAAACACAGACAGTTCTCTATCGTCCCACATAATGGGAGTCTAGATGGTTTTTATTTAGGCTGGTGGGGAAATGGGAACACGGGGTTAATGTTATCAGACTATTTATTCAATAAGTCTACCAAGAGACCCATTAACACAAGATGAAATCTTAAACGTGTGCAATGCTAGTTGAGGACAATCATAGCTTCCATATAGATTGGTACCAGGACCTCCATTCTCTCTTCACACATCAGCTACAGTATCAACAGGATGTTTACTAAACCACCAAAAATCATACTGTGCTGGTTTCTTCGATACTAGGGATTGTCACTCTGAAAGAAGAAACAGGCGTTTGGGAGTCATTTTGTGACTCCACGTACATGGAGTCTGGATTGCTTCTGTGCTCAGCTGAGAGCTGAGACAAGCTGTAGAGTTCAGGATTTTCTCTCTGCAGCCAGGAGAGAAACCTGTCTGAGTCACAACATGGCTGACAAAGGGCGCTTTACTGAAATCTCAACTGCACTCAGGCCAAGAGCGACAGCGAGAGGAAAGGGTAAGACAAAAGGTCAGAACTATTTAAACTACTGACTTCCTTCGGTAACTGTTCGTTGAGTGTCTGCTGTACACAAGGCACCAAGCCGGGAAAAGAACACGTGAACCAAGGCCACTTGACAAAGTGGGGAAGGCTGCTCTTGTTAAAAGGAAACAGGAGAATTTCAGAGAGAGATGTATTCACTTACATGTACATCCAGTCATCTGTAATTCTGTAGAGCCTAACTTCACACAGAGACACTGGGAGAAGAAATAGTAAACAAGAAAAGAGACCAACCAGGCCAACCTCTGCTGCGCCTCAACATCTCCACAGGAGCCCTGAGATTGTACGTTACTCTATTTCAGGGCAAAACTTAAAGACAGCTTTCCTAGCTTTGATTACACATAATGTGCCCCGTGGAAGACACAGATAATACCTTCCACTGAGTAACTTCCGATGGAGAGAACTAAAATTACACGCAGACACGACTGAGTTAGAAAATGACACAGGCAAAGGCAGGGATCATGACCTTTTGGCGTGACCCTTGTAATATCACAACAGTCCAGATCATTTAGGTTCCAAGATTCTTAACGGCCTGGACTGCTATTTCGTTTAAGGTGGCTTCACTTCAGAACCAGGAGACGCCTGTTCCACAACAGCGATGGAGCGCAGGCCAGCCAGGTGGGCAGACTGCTCACCCGGGAAGCCGAGGTCACAGGTCAACAAGCACACGGGCTGCTGGCTTTGCACAGGGAAAACGTCCCCCCACCCACAAATCCCCCCTCCTCTCAGCCCACACACTGAAGGAAGAGATGTGCAAAACACATCTGGTAAAGGGCTCATATTCAGAATATACAGAACTCTCAGAAGTCAATAATCAGAACAAAAAATCCAATAAAAATATGGGTAAACGATTTGAATAGATGTTTCACCAACGATGACACGTGGGTGGCAAATTAGCACATTAAAAAATGTTCAAAAGGGGCCGGCCCAGTTGCATAGTGTGGTTAGGTTCGTGTGCTCCACTTTGGCAGCCCAGGGTTCATGGGTTCAGATCCTGGGTACGGACCTACACACCGTTCATCAAGCCACGCTGTGGCGGCATCCCACATACAAAATAGAGGAAGACTGGCACAGATGTTAGCTCAGGGACAATCTTCCTCACCAAAATAAAAAAAGGTTAAGATGGTAAATTTTACGTTACGTATATTTTACCACAATTAAAAAAATTTGTTTTTAAATGAAAGTGAAATAAAGATATTTTCAGAAAAGCTTTTTTAAGACAACCAGAAATCTTCGAGTCTGGCCTCCTCATTATAAAGCTGAGAAAAGTGAGGCTCAGAGTGAAAACCTGCTCCAGATCTCGTGGCTCAGTAAAGGCAGAGGTGGGCTGGCCAGCTGGTTTCCTGTCTCATCAGTCCAAGCTCTTTCCGCTGAGAATCACGCCTCCCAGCAAACGGCCTGTAGTTCCCCACTGCAAACTCATCTCAGCAATAAATCAGGTTAGGACACAGCCTGCCGTGAGTCACAAATCTAAAATATATGCAGGGCACACATCAAGACAACAGGAAGAAACCTTGGCCAAGGTTCAGTGGGAGGGCAAATGCAGACACGCAGAGCTGGTATTAACCAAATGGGCTTCCCTGCGTCTCTATCAGTGTACTGCAGGATGACGTGGGTTTTGTTCCTTTGTTTTAACTTATATATTTTTGGCACGAGCAGAACACACCTTGTTCTTTTCCGTTACACACAGTAATTCCATTTTCTATAACACCCTCTCCATCTGAGCTGGGTCTCTCTGAAGACAGTTTCTGTAAAAATAAAAAGGATTAAGTTATTCTTACAACGGTCACACTGGCAAAGTGATGTATCATAGATCATTCAAAAGTTATCTCGAAAGTGGAAGAAAATGTGGGCCAAATTCACAACAATCCAGACATAGTCAGGGCTCAACTATAACACAGACTAGCTAGTTGGCTTGCTACAAGAGCTTGAAAAACATCAAAAGAACAAAAGAAAAACTCACTGAGGTTACACTAACACATGTTATAGTACCACACCTATTTCACTCAAATCACTTTTTCTTGTAAATCATTTTGAAAAAGTATTAGGATTACAAAAATATTCCCCTCATCAAGCCATATTATCCTTTCAGAAATAAACACTCCATCCTCCATTTAATTTCCTTCCACCATTCACCAATACTTGGGCGAGTATCGAGTATCTGCTTGTAACAAATACACTCCGAATACACACACAGGGAAGCGCTGGAACCCTTGCAATTATTTCAGTCCTAATATCTGCATTTGAGGGGCATACTTAGGACTCCAAGTTAGTATCTGAATAAGAGATGTTTAGAGCCGGAATCCCTCCATTTCAACCAGAAAACCTGCGGAGTCAGGGAAATTATATCCCAGTGCCACAGAGACTGGCCAGTCGGGAGTCAAAGAAAATATCTGGACGACACCAGGGTACAGGGGACACACGTGTTCATCTCATAAGGAGAGGTCTGCGCAACGTTGGCCCAGGATGCAGACAGGTGTTTGCAATCCTGCAGCAGCACCAGGACGAGCCGCAGTGAAGGAACCATGGCCTTTAGTGGGAACCTGGTATGTGCCAAGTTCCAGTGACAGAATGACTGAAAGCCAGCGCTGCCCCAGCTTGAGGCCAGGAGACACCCTGGAGTCCAGGTGAGGAGCTCCAGCCAGGCACTCACAGCGCAGCCTGAGAAACCACAGACAAGGTAAGGAGGCTTGCCCATTCCCATGGGGGCAGGCGAGGAGGGACTCTGATGCACGCTCTTGGCACATGAAACAGGACCAACCTTTCTGGAAAGCAATTTGCTAAGCAACATGAATCAAAATCTTTAAAAAAAAATTCTATCCTTTGGTAATCAAGAAGAAATCCAGCTCCCAGGAGTCTATTCTCAGGGAATAGTCAGAGAAGCAGCAGAGACTCATGCAAAGATGCCAAGACCCACATTATTTTAAACTGCCTAAAAAAGAAAAAAGAGCCTAACTGGGGTGGGGGAACTGTAATATAAATGACAGTAGGGTCGTATGAATTTGATATTATTCAGCTGATGAAAATGCAAAAATGCTTGTTACTTGTTATGAGTTTTCAAAACCTAGGAAATTGCTGATAATATACAGGTAAGTGAACAAAAGCAGCATAAGACATTTTATGCATAAGATTCATCAAGCTACAAAGAAACACATGAACAGGAAAAAATAGTTAAAAATACGTGGAGCCTTGAGAGGAGCTGCCTCACCTATGCAGTGGACTCCCGAGCGACATTATTCCTCCTACTTCTATTTCTCTGAACTTTCTCAATTTTCTACAGCAAGCAGGTACTAGCTTCGTAATCAGGAAAAAAGAAACAAGCCTGCTATGACACACTATCAGAGTGAGGGTTGTGAGGCCAATTTTATGTGTCATCTTGGAGGGTGTCTGTGGATGAGACTGACATGTAAATTGGTAGACTTTGTTTGGATAAGCAGATTGAACTCCCTACTGTGGGTGGGCCTCACCCAATCAGTGGAAGGTCTGAATAGAACCAAAAGACTGACTGGCCTCTCCAAGCAACAGGGAATTCTCCAGAAGACTGCCTTTAGACTTCACCGGCATCATCGACTCTTCTGGGTCTCCAGCCTGCAGGCCCACACTGCAGATTCAGCACTTTCCAGCCTCCATAATCACATGAGCCAATCCCTTATACTACATCTCTTCATATATATGTGTGTGTGTGTGTGTTTATATTTACATACATACATGATTTTGTAATATGTACATTTTATATTTAAATTTCATATTTTATAATATATATAAAATATGTGTATGCATACATACATATATATTATATACATACATATATACATTACACACACACCCTCCATTGGTCCTGTTTCTTTGGAGAACCCTGACTAAAACAAGAACAGACAAAGAAGGATCAGTTTACTGGTGGGGGTGCTAAGCAGGGAGGACTCAGACAGTTCCTAGGACACAGGCTACCTACAGAACCCTACACGGCGGGAGGCCAGGGATCTCCAAGGAAACAGGATCTTGCAGGTACAGACGCAGTACGGTCAGAGAGAGCTGGGCGTGTGGCATGACAGTGATGCGTTTATGCATGTCTGGCAAGAAGGGCTCACCTCCAGGTCTCCCCTCCCGCCACACACTGCTGCGCTCTCATTGTGCCTTCCAACAAGCAAAATGAGCACAGAGCAGAGGGACCAGTACCCTGGTCTGTTGGGAATAAACCTTTGGGAAGGTACACTTATGCAGTGCCTACTGTATTCCAGAAGTACAAAGACCTGCATGCAGATTTCAACTCTGCCATGTAACAGCTAGGTGACCTTGACCACCTTAAATCCATGAACACCTTTAAACCCACTTCTGCAGCTACAGCTGGGAATAATAAAACTAACACACAGTCTGTAAAATGAGGAACTCAAGCTTTGTACAGAGTAGGCACTTGAAATACACAGGAAGCAGGACTACGTTTTTTCCTTTTTTTTTTTTTCCAACTAGAAGTGCTGAAATTCTCGGAGAATGTTATCAGAACTCTGAGGGAGGCCTGAGGTTACCATTCCTAGAAAGAAACCCGCCCTTACCTTCTCCAGTTCTGCCTTGTGCACCGGGGAGCTGGACGGGGGAGAACATTCCGGATCCGCTGGCCCACTGCAGCCGCTGTAGACTTCTCTGACCACCTGCAACAAGCGCAGACACTTCTAAGGACACCCACAGGCAGAGGCACTCACACAGGGATGGAAGCTTGAGGTATGTGGACAGAGGCACTGGTGTGGCAGGAAATCCGTGGGAGCAGACACATCTGGCTGTAAGTTCCAGGATGCCAGGCCTCATTTGCTCATTCCTTCACTTGTTCACTTATTCACTCACCACATGTCTATTCAGCCCTGGTGCTGACACAGGGTCTGGGATACAGGGGAGGACACACACACAACAGTCCTACTCTCCTGGGGCTTCCACTCCAGCATGCTTTAGACAGCACCGTAGACAATGACTATCTCCAAGAAAGGAAGGTAACATAAGGCAGCAGCAAGCGCTACAGAACAAAAGGTGGTCTTTAACAAAGAGGGGGCGGCTGGTTAGATCAAGAGACGCCTCACTGAGACCACGTTTAAGCTGTGAGCTAAACGGCCAGAAGGACCTGGTCGTGTGAAGAACTGGTGGAAACAGTTCTAGGCAGAGGGAATAACTGGTGTACAGGCCCTGTGGTGGATGTGAGGTGACAAGGACAACCCTCCTGCCGTGTGGCAGGAGACAGGGTGGGAGAGGCCAGCAGGAGCCAGGTCACATAGTGCCTTCAGGCCCAGCAAGGAGGCTGGATTTTACATGAGCGCAATGAGAAGCCCAGGGAGCTTCTCTCGGACAGAAGTGACAGGACTCACTTTCTGGGAAGCAATACAGCACAGAGTATGGGCTCAAGCCCGACTGTCTGGGTTTTCATCGTGGCCTTCACCTTGGGCAAACTAATTAACCACTCTGTGCTGCAGTTTCCCCACCTGAGAGGTGCAGCTGTAAAGGTCCTACCTTCTAAACATTAGATGCCTTAAGACAGCGCCTGTAACACCTTATTACAAGGTTGTAGACAGCACTCTCAACTGTTGTGGGAAGACAGAACGACACAGGCGCAAAAACAAATAAGTATGGGGAATGAGCTGGGGCCATTGCTGCAGCAGTTCAGATGAAAGATGGTGGCAGTGTAGACGGGAGCGGCTGCAGGGAGACGGAGAGAAGCAAATGGATTCAGGACTGACTCTGGAGGAATAATCAACAGCCCTGCTGATGGATTAGATACGGGCTGGAGGGAAAGGGCCAACTCAAGAGGACTCCTGGGTCTCCGCTCTCAGCGACTGGGTGATGCCCTTTACTCAGATGCACAAGACAGAGGCAGACAGGTCGGTGGAAGAGCAGCGAGGTGGGTAAGTTTGGAGGCAAGCGCAAATTTCCAGTCAGAGCTAGAAAAACCTAGGGAGTCCCTGGCAAAAAGCTGATGCTCACAGATGGGTGAGTCAGCGGGGGAGGGTGAGACAGAGCAGACAGAGGCCAGGAGAAAGACCGAGAGCCGGTCAGCACGGGGTAGACTCAGACAAGAGACGCTGGTGAGGGAGTGTGAGCTGGAATGCACAGGGAAGCAGGAAGCACGCCAGGGGACTGCACCTCTAACGAGCAGGGAGCAGGAGGGAGAGAGCAGGGAGAGACAGCTCAACAGATGAGGACTTGGAGAAGTTCCTCCGAAGGGAGGCAGAGAGATATGGGGGGCAGGGGTATGACTGGAAGGGACGCCTAGGGAGGAGATGAGCAAAGGAAGACTTTTCAGAGACGGGTGAGGGGAATGGGATCCAGAGAAGGCAGGGGGAGGACGCAGAAAGGCTAGTAAACCCAGTGGTGGGAGTTTGAGAACGCTCCCATCTGACCACCTCTATTTTCTCAGTCAATTGTGAGCCAAGAACAACAGTTACTAGCTGAAAGTCATAACCTCTCTGAGCCTCAGTTTCCTCACCAGCAAAGGAAGGAATGTCAAGATGACCTGTCTTCTTACTTAACTATGGTTAAGAGAAAATGAGACCTTCTATGCGAAATGCCTAAGCCAGCACCTGGCATATGTACATTCAAAATATGGTGGCTGCTATCATCATCGACACTGCCATTGCTGTGAGCATCCTTATGATTTATGCTGAGAGCTCAGAAAATGATCCTGGTCCAGACTTACAGATGTGGGGATCGCCAGCACGCAGGTAGCAATCCTTGGCACTCCTGCCATTCACAGCCTCCCTTACGGTCACCCACTGTCCCGTCCACCATTACCGAGCTCCTACAGTGAGATGGCTGGGGTATGCAGTAAACAAAACAGACAAGGTTCCCGGGTTGGTGGAACTTACATTCTGCTAATGGAAACGTTAGCAGGCAAATCTTTCAAAATGTCTTCTATTCTGTTTGGAACTAGGCTGCAATCTGAGTTCAACCCAAGTGCCTTCTGGGCAGAAATGAAATGCCCCAGTCCCAGATATCTGTGCAGTAATTTTGCAACACGATCTCAGCCTACATATCCAAATTCACTTGGCTTCCACGGGTATTGGGATTAGAGCCAGAACTGACAGGAGACCAGGATAATGTTTCCAGCCATTTTGCTGCTCAGCTGTTTTATGAAAAAACAATGGAGCAATGTCCACATCTGAGACTAAAACAGGAAAAAAGGAAAAGAAAGAAAAAACCCAGGGAGCCGCTGCCACGTTTTTCTCGTTGTTGATTCTGAGGTGTGAATGCACAACCAGGGTGGCATTAGCCCAGCGATCCCCGCCTTCTAAACGTCCCGAAGAGGACATGTCAGCTTCTCTCTCAGCCTCTCTATTCCATGCTGATGTCACTACTGCTTTTTTTGTAGTAGGTCTTTAGTCCCTCACCTCCCCAATGTGTTTATTAAATCTTTAGTCAGCAATGCAAATTTTTATTTGATTTAAGGACAAGATTTTGTCTTTTCTCTAGGGCACGAGTATAAAACAATGGAAAAGTCCTGGGCTTTCGTGTCAAACAGAAGTGGGGTTTAAACCCCAATTCCACCCTGCAACACACGTGAGGCTGAGCAATCTAGACTTGGAGCCTTACTTCCCTCGTCCAAAACATGCACAAAATGACGCCTCGGGTCACCGTGAAAACTACATGACAAGCAGATGTGCAGTATCCAACCCAGCACCACTCTCAGGAGAGGCGCTCAGCACCCTGGAGCTCTCCTCCGTGATTAGAGCGCTAAATAAACGAGCATATGCTTCAATTATACAGAGCACCTGCAGTTCACAAGCTCCTCGTTTCTCAACAAAAGGCTGAGCCACACAAAACACAACCTGCAGAAACCTCTCTCCGGCTAAAGCTTTATTCAGCAAACAGTTGTCTTTTTTCTTTTTTTTAAAGGGCGAAGGATGTTCAAAGCCCTTTGGCAGTCTTGCTCCCGTCCTTCCTGCAGCCACCGGGGTGTGGTCCCCGGACGGCGTCTGTGGGAGGAGGTGTGCTGCTTCTCTCAGCCCAACAGGACTGTCCTGCAAGATTCCGCCCAGGTCTCACATGACCAGGAGGCCAGCTCTGACCCTCCACGTGGGACACACGGTGTGGCTACGCCTCGACACGTGCTGCAGACAGCCATGCATCCCTCCGTCAGACACCGGTCACGAGCACCATGTTTTCACAGGTCTGTTCCTTCTACTAAGCTGTGCTCATTTTCATAGAAGGGGTCCCGCCTTGCTTCTGTCGGTATTCCCAATGCCTAGCACATAACAGCAACTAAAGAGAGTTTGATTAAAGAAGAGAAAAGGAGGGAGGTAATGAAGAAATAAACTGGACTAGAAATTTTCTATGGAGGAAAAAAAAGAATGAACGAAAAACAGAAGGAAAGAACCCAGGCTGTCACATAAAATAAACAAATCCTCATAAAGTTTCCCCAGTCTTCTGCACAGATTTCTGAAATCCTCAGGGGAAAAAAACTTAAAAAAACAAGGGCATGGAGAAGAAATCCACGCCTAAGCACCAACACCCTGCCCTAGCTGACTCCCTCACACTCTCTCCCGGCCACCAGATCTCCCCTTCACTCTCCCCTAGTCCAAGTCAGGTCCCCTTTTTGCCAGCAAACGAAGGTTCGGGGAACTGAGTAATCACTGAAGTTGCCAGATGAGGTCACCTGCCATCGAAGCTAACTCACATGATCCCCTTTTCTGAGAGGCCTTTCCTAATAAACCCAACTCGTATATCTGTGTGCTTGGAATACTGTACATAGATAAATTGTACCATTTTGTTCTCTATTAATCTTCCCCCTGCTAGAACTTAAATTCCTCGTGGAGAGTACAGTGACCCCCACAGTGCTTAGGAAAGAGATGGGCATTCAGTAGACCAGAGGAGACCCAGACACACCTGGGGCCAGGCTAGGGGTTATTCATGGAATCCTGGCATCACAAGATTATTTATCTTCCCCCAGACTAAACATACTTATGTCCCAGGTACAGAGGAAGGCACTGTTGAAAAGATCAATGAGCATAAACCAGTCTTCACTTCCACGGTTTTTATCAACTAGCCAGTGGGATTATTTCAGGTTATTTTCATGAAACTGCCTTTCTACTCTGATCTCTATTTATTGCCAAATTACCCTTGCAGGGTTAATTCAGAAGTAATAAATAAAGAGTTTATCACCCAAATTCTTTGAACAGCTACAAATGAGGTTTCAGTATTAATATATTTCTTTTTAAGGAGCCATGTTCTATAAGAAGTTCAATATGTATTTCAGAGAATTGGATCCAAATTCAGAATCACAAATCCTTCAAAAAACAAATTGTTACATGTTCTGTGGTATTTTTGTTTGCTTTCAACTTGAGCCCTCATCTCCAGAAACACAATCTCTGCACATTTTTTAAGGAAATCTGACCACTCTGTTTCTGGGAATATTGGCTCGTGTCTTCTGACTGACCCCTACAAAATGGCTCATGTTTTCAGCATCTGTACACACACGCACACACGCACGCACGCACACACACACACACAGAGTCGGTTAATTTTGGCAAGAACTGCTGGTAATGGAAGTTGCAGACCAAAAGGAGAGAAACAAATGTGGCAGCGACTCTTGAAGAAGTGTATGTCTAGTCATGTCCTGGCCAGACAGTCCTCACGCTTTTCACACCTGACCAAGGGTGTGTGTGACTTACGT